AATTACAACAATTTTAAAATTTGATGAAATTCAAATGCTTTAACATTGCAAGAATCAGTGCATCAGAGAGAGAGAGAGATTGCTTTTATGTTATAAACAAAGATAATGATTGACATATGGACTAATGACTTCATACATGTAGATAAAAATTAACATAAGTTTATTTTTTTTTACGTTACATCCATTTCTATTTAAAAAAAAAAGGAAGATAAGGATTTTAAAATGATGCCAAGAACATGAAAGTTACGTTAGATGTGACTAATATATCATCGGTATTTCTCAATAGTATGAGATTGAATAATGAAATCATGAGAGTAACTTAACTATCGAACATTTTTATTGATTAGTTCAATCAATACGTGTATCCTTTTGTTCTTGCAAAGAACGTCATCTGACATAAAATAAATAAAAGAAAAAGGTTACTTTCGTTCTATTTATTCCCAGTATTTCAATGCAAGAGGAAGAAGAATGATTCATCTACGTTAGACTGTTTGAAATGAATAGAACGAAAGATATTATTTATTTTGTCTTGTTATTTCTTTTTTAGATTTTCTTAAACTTTTTCTTTTGCTCATTTTGTGTCTGATGATATTCTTTATAAGAACAAAACGTTGTATATATTAATCAACATAATTAATAAAAATGTCATATAGTCTAGTTACTTTCATGATTTCATCGGCCATTTGTAAACCTGCATCTAAGAAATTGATTCACAAGTCATTATCTCTGAATTGAATAAGTTTTAATTTGGTGTAAAACTTTCGGATAGATGAACAATGAGTACAGACGCTTCAGCATCGGAAAGTTAATCACAAAAAAAATGATGGTAAACACTGTAAATGATCAGTTTGGATGTGTGTATATAGGAATGAAGAGAAGGTTAACACCTATACATGCATACATTCATGAATCCTTCAATAGACGTCATACATACCTTATTTCTTTTTGTGTGCTAAAAGTTCTTAGGCTTAACGTGATGCCCTTTCCAGCTGTAAAAAACCAAACTCTTTTCGCGTTTTGGTTTGTCATCACTTATGTAGTTTTGAAGTGTTCTCTATCCAATGCTACATAAATGAGAGCTTTCCGTTGTTAATTAATTTTTTCATCAAACCCAACTTTCAAAGTATCTAGCAGAAAAAATCGCACTTTAATTATTTTTTGTATGCAAAATTTTCGTAATTATTATTTCTCATTCCAATGCAGAAATAAGTCCCGATAACACACAGGAAAATTTGGTTTTAGTTTTTCTGAAAATTAATTTTTGCATTAAAAAAATGTAGAATTATCACCGGTTCTTCGACATTATATGTTCAATTTAGTTGAAATATTTTTAAAAAGTATTGCATACAGTTTGGTGGGGGTGCTCCTTTTTGTTCTCGTATTGAAAAATACTGCACTGTTTTGTTTTGCCAGATTTTACAAAAATAAGCATGTAGTTTTGAAGGCACGTTCAATATTGTAATCTTTTTATTCGAATGGAAGACGATCAAAAGGAACAAAAACAAGCAGGTGTGTCAAACAGTATCGAGCATCTGTAAAATAGAATACTCCAGCTCTATCAATCTTATTGCCCTGAGAAAGCAGGGCAGTTTTAGTCATTGCAACCCATATATTTTCTAGGAGGAAGCATTTGGAGTCTATAACAACTTAACTTCTACTTGTTAAAATCTATCTATTCGATGAGTTGTAAATATTTCTGATAAACCGTTCTTCAAAAGCTCCGAAAAGGGGAATCCTTACATATTCGTACTCATCGTTTCGGTTCACAAAATTTCGATCAGTAATGCTTCATTCGATAATAAGACTTTTGAAACATTTTGTTTAGATATTGATTTCAATTCCATACTAAAAAGAACATTTTCCAGTGCATATTGGTTACAAAAGAATATAGCAATTCAATGTTTTTCTACGTCTTCAAAACATGTGTCGATTTATACGTTACCAATTACAAATTCTCATTTATCGACATCAGTAGATATTATCCATCAAGAACTTTCAATGACACCTTCTTCATCACATCCAAATATTCAAAGTCTTATTGTACATTCCAATAGTGATAATTATTCTCCAAAATTATCCATAACAAATCTTTTTACTAAATTTCCTTCTTTAACTCATCTTAAACTTGATACAGTACTTCTTTTACCTCCGACAATATTCATTTGTTCAAATCGTTTACGTTCTTTATCACTTTGTCATTATTCACTACTTTCTTGTTGTCAATTACTTGATTATTTACCTCAAGTTATATCACTTTCAATAACAAATTCATACTGTAAAACATTAACTATTGATAGTTGTCCAAAATCGATTCTATCAGTGAGTCGATTAAAAATATCAATTGATTCAATTCAGATAACAAATCTATCCACTATAACTCAATATTTTCCAAATGTTAATGAATTTTATTTACTAATAAAAAATACATCAAATCGATCGACTGATGATTTTCGTCAATGTGAAAAATTTGAATTTTTTTCACAAGGATTTATTCATCTTCGTTATTTTGAAATTACTTTACCAATAAAACAAGATTGTTTTACAATTCCCCAATGGATGCTTATGTTAGATCAAAATCAACGAATATGTGTGAAATCTAAGGATGGTAATTCATTAGTTTTAAAAACATGGTTATAATCAGAGATAAAAACCAACAGTAAATAAAAAAAAGATTTCATTATATTTTTTATTTCATGTTTGTTTATGTTTGATCTTTTTTTTTGTTTTTTTTAATGAATGTTTTTGTTCAAAACTAAACAACCGTCAATTAGTTTCGACTTTTACTTTTTGACGATATTCATCGGAATATTTACTTACTTTTTTTGTTGCACAAAATCTCTCGATTTCAATCCCGAATAGTTTTTTTTATAACTTTAATCATATATAATTAAGTGTTTACTTGAATATGAAGATTCTTTTAACTAGTAAATGAATAGTTATAAAATATCTGATCGATTGATCAGATAATTTATCTATTATTTATTCTTATATTTGTTGCGGATGTGTTAATGTAAATATTTTAAATAAACGGTGACGAATAAAATTCAGAATATAATCATCTTATTCGTGTCTAGATTAATTATGAAAGAAACAATATTTGACTTTTTTTAAATAGAATATCAAAAAAGAAAAATAACGGTATATAATCATTAAAATAAAATTAATGAATTAAGTCTAAAAAAAACAAGCAAATTAATTCTTATATATAAATATTGGGCATATTCAGAGAAATATGATTCAAAACATTTATGTGACTATGATCATTTCAAAAAAAGAAATATTAGGTAAAAGATGTATTATATCTAGAGAGCTAGAAGTCTACAAAAATGTGAATCTGAACTCGAGCTCGGACTCAACGAAAAAATAAAACTTTGAACGCGTACCTGCTAGGTTAAGACCTAAGTTTTTTTTCCATCAATATCTGCCATTCTATGTATACATGAACAAATTGAAGGATTCAGATTTTAGCTATTTATTGGCTGCATTCAGAAAAAAATGTCAATCTACACTTATTTGTTATTATTTACTCTTGCTTCACTTGATGCTTAATCAATTAAACTATTTCACTTAATTGAAATGAGCATGATGTTAATCAAAAAACGAAACAAAAATGTTAATTGATAAATAAAATCCGCCAAATCAACAGTAACAGTAAAATCTTCAGTTTTATAGAATAGTCTTCGCTTTATTTATATACATGAGATGAAGCAAAAATATGTTCTATGCAAACAATATGAAGACTCACTTATTTATAAATCATTTTCTGGTACTAATTCAGTATCTAAGCGTATTTGTAGTTGTCAAAATAGAAAAAAAATGACAGTTTCCAATGCTCAAACAACTATCAATCAGTTTTATGCATCTTCTTAAAAATGAACCAGCTATTCCCGATCGAGTTAAGCAAGAAATAAGAATCGCTTGTGTTGAATTTGTCGCACTTGACTGTCGTCCATTTAAAACAACTAATGATATTGATTTCGAAATTCTTGCACACAAATTATTTACTTCTCGTCGAGACCTATCTATAGTCAGCTACGGGTCGACATTTTTGTGGATCCAGATCTCGAATGACCTATGACTTTCTAATTGTATCCTATGTGATGTCAATCATAATGTTCAATAGGGAACATTGCCGAAATCGATCGAGAATTTTATTTAATTTTCTTGACGGATTATCAGTTTTGAATAAAGAAATTTGATTTAATACTCGATGAATGAAAGACTATTGACAATGAATTATTGACAAGACGCTTCAATGAATTATTACATATGTTTAAGATGTCGATAAATCCATCTGGTATATCGTTTATTGTATTTAAAATCATAATATGTGAAGAACTCATACCAAAAAGTTTTAATCAACGATTTTATTCATTACTACCATGATCAATATTTTCAATATCCAATACAAGTATATCATCGTCTAAAATTGAACTTTGAAACAAAGAACCAAATAAGAAAGTATTCGAAATTGATGTGATAGTAATGCCAGTCAATTTATAAATATGTATTAGAGAAAACACTTTCAGAAATAATACAAACAATGATGATTGATATTGGTCTTCCATGCAATATTAAAAAACTGAAAAGATATGCTGATTAGTTGCTTCCAAGAATAGATTTTTTCACATAAGTACTTCTATATACGCGGAATATATGCTTTATTAAACAACAAGATAGAGTAAATGAAAAAGCGCTCATTCTCATTTTTTGCTTCGTGAAGTATAGTCACATTTTTCTTTTTTGTTATCGTTACATTCTTTGTGCATCTGCCTCTCTAAGTCGATACGAGAGTACTGATGGCAGAGGCAATTAATATTGATCCTAATGAGGATCTTCAGTCTGGAAAGGAATATGAGATACTGGAACAAGGTTCTATATCAAATGTTCAAGTTGAACTTATATCAAGATTTTTATCGGAGTGTTCGCAAGCAGCTTTAAATGTACACAAGTACCTGCAGAAAAATTATTCAAAGTCGAATCAGCAACAACAACAACTCATGCAACCAGTGAATTCAACACCGAAACGCGGTCATCCACTAGATGAAAGTGGAGGTTCGATCAGCAATGGAAGAGGTCTCCGTAAATATCCTCGAAGGGGTATTGACAATAATGCACATAAGCACTCACATAATGTACAACCAGAAATTAATTTACAAACACAGCAACCATCGTCTTCGATGTCGTCAGATGTAAGACAACATCAAGAGATAAATCAAGATAATACGAATCGTAAACGAATTTCTTTTAATCAACTGAAGCACGCGGTATCGTCTAATTTACCATGTTTCTTTATTGAATTCACCTCGGATGCGGATCGTAATAGTATTCCAACAGCTCTTCATGCAAGTGATCTTATACTGAAAGAACTGCAAACCAATGGTGTTTTAATCAATAGATTTACATTAGTAGGATGGGCAGGAAAAAAGCTAAAGTTAGGTGTTAATAATAAAGAAGATTGCGCTACTCTCGTCAGTTCGGATAAATGGCCAACAAAGATAAATGGAATTGATATTGTGGTCGTGAAACCAAAATATATACCTGATTCATTCACTCTTGTCGTCCGTTATGTACCTAGGGAATTAGATGAAAATTTTGTTTCAAATGAAATTCAGCGAACAATTGCTTCTGCAGATCGTATTAAACGTATTCATTATTCATACCAAAGAAGAACAGATGATTATCGATTCGAAGTGAAAGATTATCGTGAATATAATGCTGTGTTGCAACTGAGTCGAATTGCAATAGGTCATTCGTGGTTATCGATCACCAAGTTTTATCCGGGAAATCGTTTAACGTACTGCACGAAATGTTGGCGTATTGGTCATTTGAGGAACAAATGCAGCTCAGAAAGCAAATGTCGTATTTGTCTTGAAAGTCTGAATGTCAATACTCCTCATATGTGTAAAAATGTACCGAAATGTGCTCAATGTGATGGAGATCATCATTCGTTGGATAGTCAATGTCAAGTTTTAAAAGAATATAAAGATCAATTAAAGGAAGATGTCGAAGATGCCATACAAAAAGGACTATTACAGCGATTCTCACCGCAAGAGAAAGCACCTACATTTGAACGTCGAGAGCAAGACTTTCCACCATTAGCAGCAAGTGATAATCATTCCAATAAAAAATGGAATACTGCGCTACCACGTACAACTGTTGAGTCGAATGACTTACGAGCATCATATACTGATAAAACAATTGAATCCATCAATGATAATCTGACAAAGCTAATCGATAGTAACAAACGGCTTGAAAATAAAGTTGATCTAGTATCATCAAGTATAAAAACCGTTACTCTTGATATTCAGCTACATCAAGCAGTCTTAGCAGATACTATCAATATTATGAAAGACTTCATGCAATATGTTATACCAGCATCGTTAACTGCTAGCAAAGTTGAAAGATCATCGTTGGTACAAGTCACGAGCGAATACTACAAGCGTCTTCATGTCGCGTCCTCAAGATTAATAAATGGTTTCCAATTAAATCAATTAAATCAGCAAGTTGAACTGTTTGTGCATAATACTAACATTGATCAACACTCTGCATCAGTTCACAAATCTTCACAGAATGATAAGTAGAACGTCAGATCTTAATGTACACGCTAAAGTTTTCTTTCCTGCTTCAGAGAATTATTCATTTAGTCCTAAAGATGAAGCTATGCACCGGCTGAAAACTTGGAATTTTGCACCTAAAGATCAGAAATTAGTATTATCTCTTTTAGATGAATGGTACACGGGTAGAACCTTGAACACAGTCTTAGAACAATGGGGAAATGTTGGAATAGCTCCTTCACAAACCCAAAAAGAACATATTAAGATCCTATGTTATAATGTCGAAGGTTGGGGTACGCGTGCGCTTGAAGCTATTGATTTAGTGTATCAAATTCAAGCTTCTATTGGTATATTTACTGAAGTTGGTGAGTTATGGAACATGAGCCGATTACCACATTTTAACACGTTCTATCAAAAGGGAACTAACAAGAATGGAGGAGTATGTATAGCAGTAGGAAAGCATCTGAAAGCGACGCGCATTGAGGTTAACATTCCGAACACAGTTGTCATTGATATAACAGGTCTATCAGAACCAGTACGTATCATTGGTATTTACTGGCCCACTAGTCAAGAGCGTGATCTTGATGATATCTTGCCTTATGTCGTAGAAGGTACCATACTATCAGGTGACTTTAATGCAACAGTCAAGGAATGGAATAGTCCAATAACTGATAGAAGAGGTGCGCACGTGAAAGAATGGATTAATGAAAATAATCTCAATTATATTCCATCAACGTCCAACTCATCTAAGCGCTCTCTACGTAATATAGATTTGTCGTTCTCTAATATGAGTACTATTTCAAGCGAAACATTGTTTTTTGGCACTAGCGATCATTGGCCGATTGTGTTATCGTGTGAGAACATTTTTTTCGATATAAACAGTTTTTTTCCTCATACAAATTGGAAGGCATTTGAAGCAGTAATAACGCTATTACAAACATTCTGGATGAGAGAACAAAAGAAAAATAGGGCTGATGAGTGGTACAAACAATATATTCGTTTCATCGCGGCTGTCAAAAATAGAGTGACTCATTGGAAAGAGAGAGATAAATATAAACCATCATTACCGGAGTATATCATCGAAAAATTAAAAGAAATACAAAAAGTGAGAAATAGATATTATCATTTAAGACATAAGGGAGTTTTTAATGAGGAAGCGAGGGTGCTATTACGTACAATGACGAGAGAGACCAAAGTTGAAGTTGCTAAATACAAAAATGCTCAATGGCAAAATATTTTGGTCAACATTCAAACGTCTTACGATAAATCAGATAAAGCGTTTTGGACACACTTATCTCGCATTTACAAATCGCGTACGCTGCCTTTTTATAAACTTTCGGATGGCTCTAAAATAATATCAACTCAACAAGAAATCACAAACGAACTATATCAGTATTACAGTGAACAGTTTAAAGCATCTGCTCTGGATTGTTATAATGTACATGAAACTCAGTTAGACATTGAATATAAAGAGTTGTTAAATAAATTAATAATATCAAGAGATAAAGTCGAAAAAACTAGTGTTTGGGAAATCTCACGATTAATTAAAACGTTAAAGCCTAAGAAGTCAGCAGGTTTTGATTTGGTGTCAAACTTCATAATTAAAAAACTTCCTCCAAGTTACATCGAGTGCTTAGCAAATTGCTTTAATGTATGGTTAAACGAGTGTCGTTATCCAGATGACTGGAAAATTGCTAAAATTATAACCTTAAATAAGTTGAAATCGGGTATCCCAAAGTGTGAACAAACTCGTCCGATATCCTTGTTAGCTACACATTCTAAGCTGTTCGAAAAAGTGCTCTTACTAAGAATTAGACAATGGGCTGAAACAAATCGTTTAGTACCCGTAGAACAATCGGGGTTCCGTCCAAAATGTCTTCTACCTACTCGCGTTCTGTCAATATATCAGGAAGTCAAAAATAACATGGCAGCCAATATTCCGACACTAGCGCTTTATGTCGATTATCAAAAGGCTTATGATCGTGTATGGCATGCCGCTCTTCTGTGTAAACTAGATAGACTGGGTATGCCTCTCAACTTATTGAAAATGATTTATAGTTGGTTAAAAGATAGAAGAGCTTACGTAGAATATGATGAAATAACTTCGAAAATATTTAAGATACATATAGGACTTCCACAGGGCAGTAGTCTTAGTCCATACTTATTTATAGTGTTTCATTCAGATCTAACAAATTACCTGGTAGCTCATTCATGCCATCTATTTGCAGATGATCTTTGTGTATTAATTAGTCCTCCCATTATGAGAAACTTAGACCCGATGAATGAATACTTAGAAAAAGAAGGTACACGAATTTGTAATCAGGTTCTTATATATTCAAAAAAGTGGAAACAACCGTTAAATGTTTCGAAAACTGTAGTACAACTTTTTCATACACAAGTAAAAAGACCGATAGTAAATGTAACGATAGACGGAAACAAAATCGAATTAGTTAGAGAATTCAAATACCTAGGTTTTACCTGGACGGATAAACTATCGTTGAAACCAACAATCGAAAAAGCGATAGGAAATATTCAGAGATCGCTAGGAAAACTAAAATGGATGAAATCTGGTCGCGAAATGTCATGTAAAGCTCTCCGGCAATGTTTTTTCGCATTCACGTTCCCTCATTTCGCTTGGCTGTGTCCACTTTTTCCAATCCTCTCAGAATCTCAACAAAATATATTGCAACAAAAATTCCGTGTAGGACTTCGGCTGGTGCATCGCTGCCCCTTCGTTTCTGCTCATAATCTTTTCAATATTACCTCAGAACAACCCTTAGAATTTTATGTTAAAAAATATATTCAACGAAGACTAAAGACCATTTACACAACTGATCTTAGTTCTTCATTGTTCTATGAAGATATTTTTGGGTGGGATAACTTTTATAAAAGAAAAAACGATCATCTTGGGCATTTTTTTTTGTTTACGTCGTGTTCGGCAATTGAAAGATCGACACGAGTCTTCTCTTTTAAAATGGTTGTCCTTTGTTGATGTGAATTAATGTCACAGAAAGACGCTTAAATGTAATGCTTATGCAATTTTCTTTTTTCGTTCTTGCTCTCTTTCTTATTACTTTTTATCTCGCGTTCGTTTCTCTTGGTTTGTTTTTCGTCTCCCTTCGAGTTGCTTGCTCTACTCACGTATCTCCGCTGCTACTCATCATCAGTACTTCTCTCACTATCTTCTTCTTCTCTTTCTTTTACTCTTGGGTTATTTTTTTTTCTTTTCCATTTATTTACTCCCTATATATCCCCATGTGCAGAAGTTGGTACTCAGTATAGCATATTGTTGGCACAATTGTAACGCTTTGCTTTAATGATACACCATTTCGCTTATACATCTATAATTCTCTCTTTTATTATGTAAGCACTTCCGAGTGTTACAGACACGAGCATAATAAAAAAAAAAAAATGAAAAAGCGCTACAATAAATTGTTTCACAGTATGTAAAAGTGATAAAAATCTACCTGTGATGAATGGATTTCGTCAAGTTTCTTCAGCTAGTTTTAACAAAACAAGTATGACCGCTTATACATATCGTATGGAAAAATAATTATGATTGTTGATAATAGATGATTTTTGTCTTAAAAGCTTGGAGCATAACTAATAGTATGTCAACATTCGATAGTCGATGTAGCTAGTTATTAAGTACAAATCTTATTGGCGCTTGATCATAAACAGTGGCCATGTAAAATAAATGAATGGTGACTGTATGACATCATGAGCAGTTAAAAAACAGATGTTTTTAAACCATGGCTCAAGTTTCTTTCAAGTAAGAAAAGTTTTGACTCCTAGCACCCATGTATCAGAAAATAGGTCATGTTCAACAAAATCTGAAGTTTCGACGAAGTGTGCAGAAAGTTGGTATTCTTCTTCTTGTTCGTAATTAAAGACAATTGATACTAATGCTGATCGTTATAAGTCAAATATTTGATTGGTGCTGACCAACGAATAAATGTTATCTTCAAACAGAGATTGAATAAAACATATTAATACAATAAAATCTCTTATTTTACTTTTTATTTTGCTTAGATATTCTCTTTTTAAGGTTTCCAATGACAACGTATAAAAATGATTGGGTACCATTGTTGCAATAATTATATAAGACGATAGGGGTCGCTGATATGAAATGAATACAGCATTTCAATAATCGTTGTTTTCATGCAACGTCTCTCAAACTTACATCGAATCTATCTAGTCATCATTCAAGTATGCTAGTCTTATAATGTGCGCCACATTCTGTAGAAATCGAAGATATATCCACCATCATAAAAGTTGGAAATCCAAGAAAATCAAGTGGAATTTAGTTTTTGGAGCATCCACATTATCATTGCATGTGATCGTATTTTAGACCATCTCATTGTAAAATACCTTAAATGCTACGAATTTCATAGAATTCAAGAAAATCAAGTTAAATTCACTCTTTGGCGAGTTGCTGAATTGAGATTCTTTGTGCCAATCTTGCTAATTCCTTCAGTAGAGTTGTGTCGCTATGATTCGGCGATCTACTCTCATTGTTGACTTGCCTTGAATTACAACTGAATAGCTCTTGACTTTTCAATCTTTGCTTGATGGATACTGCTGCATGACGCCATTACATTTCGCATGACACATCATCGATTATTTTCAATAATAGATAATCAAGTGTTAAAAGATGATAGAAAGAATACATTTGTAAAATCTCGACAAAACTATTGGAAAGCAACATCTATCGATGGTGACTCGTAATCTAAGTTAAAAAGTATCGTAACATAGAGTATTATCATTGTATTCTTCTCAGTTTATTTTAACCTATTAATGAATGAAAAACAAAGGAACAAAAATTTATAGAGCATATTTAAGTTTCATACAGAATTAATTTCAATTCAATAAGAAGACTTGAGATAAACATTTGTATCAATATGACGATATACAATAACTCTTTAGTTAACTATTTTCCTAGGACTATTACATTTTATAAGATTATAACTATGTTTTTATGATTAGAATATTATTAAATTTGTCTATGATGCATGTATGATTATTATGCTCAGGAGCATTAGTCAGTTCTGAAGGCAGGAGGCGTAGAGGTGTTTCAACATAGAAAAGTGATCAAAATAATAGGTGCTGAGTAATTACATTTTTAAAACAGAGGTGGCGTAACGCCCGACGCACCCCCCTCCCCTTCTATCTACGCTTCTGGTTTTGTTTATGATCAAATTTATGATTATAATTGTTTTTCAAATAAATATATGACTTATTGTAATATTTAATAAATTCATATTTTTTGTTATAGAATAAAACATAGTTTTTGTTTCATGGTCAACTATTCCTCTTCTCGTTTTTCTTGTAAATAGGTTTCTATACAAATATCCATATTCTGCCATGCTCGCTTATGATGGCTGTACTTAACAAAAGGTTAAAAACTTTAACTTTATAAAACTAAAATTTATATTGCATAATTTTTGCTTTTATGCATTATTAAATTATTTACATATAGTCAAGGATCTATATTTTTCATATATTTCAGCTTTTTTCTATTTTTTATTAATGATGTATACCTTTTATCAAAAAGTTCAAAAGTTTCTTCAGCAATAAATACTGGTTGTTCCTGTTGCTGCTGTTCATAGCATACATTAGCAAATTTAACGTGAAACCAATATTATATGTCATCTTCATTAAGTTTTCTTTTCTATGATAGAAGTTTTTGTTACATATGTTGTAACTATTGCATTTATTGAATTGATCGAATAGAATCCTATATAAAAAGAATCTATAAATTAATAATTTCAAATTTTCGTATTGAGACCATAGAACAATAGTTTATCAATTTAATTGATTTATTTTAGTTTGAAATTATGATTTATTAGGTTTGATAAAAATACATGAATAATTTCATGAAATCAAATATCTATATAATCAAACGATAAATGATGGCATGATTGTTGAAGAAATTAAATAGAATCCTCCTAATATTCTAATCTTTTTTTTCTCAATAAATACATTATTAGTATAAAAAAATCATGGATAAATAATATTACAATTTTATATTGACAAAAGCGATCAATGATTGATTATATGATTAATGCAAAAGATTTTTATTAATCAATTTGAGTCCATAGTTTCATATCTAATCATTTATCATTGACAATCAAAAATCTATTTATCATTTTTTTTTCATTGTTTCAACTGCTGTCACTGTTAATGGCGGCATTTAATGCAATTACTTTCACGTGATGAATCAATTTATTAAACAGTAGAGGCATCATTTTATTACGAATACGATCACATGCTTATCATCAGACACATTCAGCTAAATAATCTAACATGGCCTCATAAAGTCTTTAACAGAACGAAAATATTCATGTAATGATTGGAAAATTGTATTATCTTTTGTTAATTTTTCATTAATTTTTATGCCTTGTATGGAATTGTTTATTTTGTTTCCTTATTGACTTTTTTATTATTGCCTTCTGACCGTTGTCGTCCTAAAAGAATGTCATGTTAATTACATAGATTGATACAAGTAGAATAGAGAAAGCAACAAAAAAAAATGGAAAAAATAGAGAACAACAAGAACGAAAAAAATAGGTTGATGAGAATTCTTCAAAGCATCACAAATTTCTTTCATGAAGCATAATAGTTAAATTTGTCATCTCATGACATGTCACTCACGTCATGACTCTACCAGGTACATCGATTTGTTGAATAAATCATTTTGATCTGTGCAAACAAGGTAACTGTGTTCTGCCTTTCTGCAAACAAGACCTGTGAGTATTCAGTGACGTTTGTCCGAGTAGATAACCATCGAGTGGTTTGGCTAGTAGATGTGGTACATATCATCGAATGACTATTAATCATAGGCAGAAATGAAGAAGAAATCCTTTTAGCACCGGCAGCGATATACGCGATCTAGCGAAACCTAGTAAAAGTGGCTAAGCCTTAACCGTTGAAAATTAGTAAACAGAGAGTAAAGAATTAGCAGTCCATTGAAAAACAAGCACGAATATAGAAAATTGAGGATATTGAAGTTTCTATGCAGAAGTGCTAATCATAGTTGATCAAGTTAACAAGAACTGTTTGTTGGCGGTAGAATCATTTATTTGTTGAAATCTTGATAGATTTCAAGAAAGTAATGTGTACCATTTACGATAAAATACATAAATACTCATCATCTATTCATTATTTTGATTGCAAAGAAGTTGAATAATAATAAATGATATTTGTGTATCATTACCATTAGAATTAATAGATTTCTTTCGATCATATTCAGTTATACGTGCTACGGGGTAAAATTGATGATTAATAATCATACATAAATTTGTTTAATATTATGTATAATTGACTATTATCTGTCATTAAATTAAGAAATATAATTATTTTAGAGAATATCATCTTCATGAGATCAACCTATAGTTGATTTTGAACAGTCTACGAAAGAATCATTTTAATGCCTAGTTAATTGAAATATTAATATAAACATAGCATATATATTGAATTAAATTTCATGAATATTTGTTCGATTTTTTAAACTTATTCTATATGATGGAAAATATGTTTCTCTATGAAATTTTATCCATGTCTTATGATATCGCTAACCTAGCGTAAAAAAATTCTAGGTAGTAGAAATAAATATTTCTATTTGATGAATAGAAGATGATCAAAACTGTATAACTACTAGGTTTACACATAGCAAAATATATTCAACTCGAATGTTTCATAAAACAAAGAAATATAAGGCTTTTTCTATCCATTAGCAAGTGAGAACTTGATTAATTAGGTTATCTATTGTATTATATATGAAATCAAATATTTCAAAAGCACAGAAATAATTGACAGACAATGTTCAATCATGTCGTCTTCGTGACATATTTAGCTTAGTTTCATAGAAAAATAAGAAACAAATAGAACAACAATTATCACTGTATACATACAACAAAATTGCTGAAAAACAGAGAACAAAAGAAGTGAAACAAACGAAAAAAACAAAAACTATACATCATGACTGCGTCGAAAAAAGATACTTGTTGATGCTAATGTTGTTTTTGGCTTTTCTGTTTGTCGAACAACGGTAGTGCTAGTCAATCGACCAGAAGTGGAACCACTCGAAATACTATCATCAATATAAGGTAACTCATGTTCATTTCGTTTTTTCGTTGTTAAATATGTTGTTGCATAGGGTGATGGTGGAAGACGATGAAGAGGTGGTATTGAAGGTGAAGAAATTGTTGATGAAAGTATTGTAGTTGGTTCGAGTTGAAATTCTACATTTTTATAATGAGCAGTTGTTGTATCAGAAGGCTCAACTTGTATATCGGATGTACGACGAGTATCTTTTAACAATGGTAGCAAAGAACTACGCAAACGTGTTTGACTACTAGTTACATTTGTAGGTGTTGAAATAGACTCTGTTGGTTGTAATTCATTTTGTTCAGTATCAGTTAAATCTGATGGTAATTTTGGAAGTATATCACGTTCAACAAATATTTTTCCTTGTCGAGGATTAGGTATTGGTGGAATATCAGCTGCAATAGTTTGATCTGTACTTCTATCATCATCATCAATATCATTATC